CCATCCATCCATCCATCCATCCATCCATCCATCCATCCATCCATCCATCCATCCATCCATCCTCAGTTTCTAACCCTCTCAGTTTTTGTTGCACTAAATAAAGCAACAGTTTATAATTGTTTTATTAAAGTGTAACAGAGTTTACAGTCTCTGTGAAATGATTTGTAGAAAGCCTCTCAGAACCCACCAACTGTTTCCAGAACCACAGCCGGGTCCAGAAACCAAGTCCAGGAACCTCTGCTTTAAAACCTGTTGTTTTCTTTCTGTCATTTTATTCTGTTATCTGAAAAAATAAAATAAAATAAAAACATAAAATAAGCTGAACAATGTTTGGATCTACTGCTGTCTCTACTGAAGGTTTGTGACGTCATGTTTTCAGTTTAAACCTGAATGAAAACAAAGCAGTTTTTTCCCTCAAATATTAAAATTTGTTTAAATGTTTCTGAGTTTGTTGTGATGAAAAGATGAGGAGAAACACTCAGCTCCAGTTTAACCACCAGCTGAAAAAGAAACGGTTGTTTAATCAAACCAGCACCAGGTGGTGTTAAAGGTCCAGTTCAGCTGGTCAGGGTCAGAACCGGATGTAGATCGTTTGGGTTTGTATTTAAACTTTTAAATGATTAAAATGCACATTTTTCTGACCAGTAAAGCTTTAATTTAATACAATATTAGTTTATGGAGCTAAAAGAAGAAATAAACCAACATGTTATTAGTCCTGAAGGTTGTGAAACGTCAGTATCAATGCGCTCAGAACTAGTTTGTCCGGCGGAGGAGGAGCAGGGTCAGCTGACAGGACTTCAGCTTGTTTGACTTGTTAAATTCATGTTTAAACTAAACTCGTTCAGTAAAACCGGTGAAAACTGCTTTAAAGGTTGGATTGTTTTCAGTAAGTCAGCCGGTCCGGTTCGGGTTGACCCAGTGGGTCCCAGCCGGACAGGTGAGCACACCTGTGTGTGCCTGCTCATTAACCTTCACCACTGCGCATGCGCAGAGCTGCAGCCGAACAAGTACAAAGAGTTCGGTGCTGCTGCTGGAACAGAACCAGTAGAACGGCGGTCCGGTTCGGTTGGAGTTTGTGTCTGATCCGGACCGGTTTCCTTCTCGAAGCTGGACCTTAAAGACTCTGAGTTCGGGTCCAAACCGGTTCGGGAGGAGCGGGACAGACGGTGAGTTCGGTTAAACTCGGTTCTGATCCTGTTTACCTGGAAAGTATGAATGTTGCAGAGGTCGAACCGGGTCGAACCGCTCGGCCCGGTTAGTTAAAGTTCATCTTGTCTGCTGTGGTCCGGTGGGTCCAGCAGACCAGAACCAGAACCAGAACCAGACCAGACAACCCCATGAAGCGCTAATTTAATCTGGATTATAGTTAAAGTCAGACGGTACCGGGTCCAGTCGGTCCCGGTTCTTTTGTCTACTCGTCTGAATGGGTCGAACCTGTGGTTCTGGTTCGGTTCGGAGCGTTGTTCCTCTACTTGAGCTGAGATGAACAGAACCTGGAACTGCAGAACCAGAACCTCCATGTTTTAAGGCCCAGATGGTCCGGTTCTGCGGGTCCAGGTTCTTTCAGAACAAAAGTTCTGCCGCTTTAAATTCTGTTCAACTGAAACCTTTATTTTGAAAGGTTCACTCAGCAGCTTTTATTGTGAAATGTTCACTTTGTTCAGGAAAATAAAGTCCAAATGACCCGGGTTCTGGATCTGCCCGAACCGGTCTGTGTGCCTGAAGCAGAACTTTCTGACTCAGCGTTCTGTTTGGACCTGGTGGTTCTGTTTGGACCTGGTGGTTCTGTTTGGACCTGGTGGTTCTGAAGCTGTTTGGACCTGGTGGTTCTGTTTGGACCTGGTGGTTCTGAAGCTGTTTGGACCTGGTGGTTCTGTTTGGACCTGGTGGTTCTGAAGCTGTTAACACG